CGAGCCAAGCCAACCCTGGTTGAGCCGAGAACACAAGCAGACCGGACCAAAAAAGTTCCTGATCAAGGCCAAAGTGTCCCGAGGCAAATCCACCTGTCATCTCGTGAACTACCCATGCCGGATCAAGACCCCGAGCACGGGGAGTAGGGGGCAATTGATGAAGGAAGATTTGACCCGACCCCTTGGCTATGCAACACGTGGAAGCAACCGAGAGTGACCTGGTAGAAATGCCAGCTCGGCACGGCAGCAGGCCCACAACCCGAGCTCTGAACTAAAGAGCCGAGCTCCCTCGAAGGAACCTGCAACCCGAGCTCCGAACTAAAGAGCCGAGCTCCCTCGAAGGAACCTGCAACCCGAGCTCCGAACTAAAGAGGGTCGAGCTCCCTCGAAGGAACCTACAAACCGAGCTCCAAACTAAAGAGTCCCGAGCTCTCCCTTCGAGGTCCTGAGCCTTACAAGCACCAAAGGCAAAAAACCCAAACTGCTCGCCCAGGGGCAGTTCGGGCCATTCTCCTATCCGAACTCGAGACTTCACATTAAAAGACCACTTCGGCTCCAAATCGCCTAACTGAGCAATCGTACCTAATGCCCAGGAGACCGTACACGGAGGCGGCACACCTGACCGATCAGTGGACTAACACATGACAACCGCCATCCAACGGCCACCTACCACTGCCATCCCAGACGGACAGAGGCGGCCCTGGCAACTAGCAGTGGAGGTTATGACACCCGAACTAGCAGTTGACAGTGGAGGTTATGACACCCGAACTGGTAGTTGACAGAAGGAAGTGACCCGATCTGGAAGAGGTAATGATGCCCGAACTGGCAGAGGCATGGAAGTGAGCACCCAGGGTGATTATAAAAGGCCCCCATCTCACAAAGAAGAATGTATGTGATTCTTGTGTTTTCTGGTCTTAGAATTCCTCATTTCCCTTGCCTTCTGAAGAACACTAACTTGAGCTTCAGAGTGTTCCAACTGGGTTCCTCCCCGGAAGCCTCCATTTTCTTCCTTGTTTCAGACACCTTCGATCTCGTTAGAAGTGAGGTAACCGGCAGTTAGGATAGACCGGATCGCGCATCATCAAGTAGTATGCAGGAATCAATGAAAATTAAGTAGACTTTAAAATGATTGGTTGAGATCCGGATACAATGTCATATCTCCTCCTGCCAATAAACTAGTTCCAACACCCTCCCAACATAATCTTTTTGAAAGTAGGGCTGCAAGTTGGGCCGGGTTGAGGCCAACCCTAGCCCAACCCAAAGTTCTAAACCCCCAACCCTTATCCTAACCCAACCCAACATGACCAACCTTCTTCCTATCCTTAAAATCTTGTATAACTTCTTAACCTTAGATTTTAACTCAACTTTCATTATATAAATTAATCCTATGTTTTATTAGTATTTGTTTTTTTTCATGTTTTTATTGGTTCTTTAAGTACAAAATTCAGAAGAAAGTATTTGAAATGACTATAATTTATTATGATGACTTATAATAAATCTCTTATGAATAATAAGCTATGTGTTATGAACACACCACCCGGCAACGCACGGCGGCACAGCCATAGGCAGCAGCACACACARCGGGCCGCCTAGCGGCACGCACCGCCCGGCAGCGCCGCATAGCAGGCTGGCAGCACGCGGCACATACCGCCCGACAGGGAGCTGCACGCACACGCCCGACACCACACGGCAGCGGCA